ACTACTGATGCTTTGGCACTGACGTGTTCCACTTGGTGTTTAAAGTTGAGACGGGCATCAAGCATCACTCCCAAATATCGGGTATAAGGTTGTGATGTGATTTCTTGTTCGCCGACTTTAAGTTTGATGGTCTCTAACGCTTTTCTGCTGGTAATAAGCACTGCCTCAGTCTTATGTTTTGCCAGTTGAAGATTCATTGTGTCCATTCACTGGTTAACTTGCTGGAATGCTAGATCAAGCATGTGGTGAATCTCGTCCAGGTGTTTCGCGACAATCACTACGGTCACGTCGTCCGCATACGCTACAAGTTTAACATTCCTCTGGATCTTTAGCTTTAGGAGCCCGTCATACATGATATTCCACAGCAGTGGGCCAAGAAAAGAGCCCTGCGGACCACCTCCGGTGATGTCGTACTCTTTCGGATTGTCCTTTGTCTCATATCTCAGGACTCTTTCCATGAAGTAGCTAGTTACTATTTTACGTAGGTATCCTGGCACGTTTTTCTCTTGAAGAGCTTGCATAATGCAGACGCAGTTAGCAGAGTTGAAGGCGTTTTTTATGTCTAACGTCGCCACCAGGCAGTACTTTTTCGTACCACCCTTCCATCTGGTTCTTGCAATTGCCTCCTGGGCCGTAGTAATAACCAGATTGATCGCGTCCAGGGTTTATCGTCCTTTTCGGAATCCGTACTGGTTGTTTGCCAGGAGTGGATCCATAACTGCTTCTATTCTTTGATGAATTTTGCGTTCGAATATCTTACCGGCTGTATCCAGCATGCAAAGTGGGCGGTAGGATGACGGCTCTTCTGGTGGCTTCTTTTCTTTAGGGAGTAGAACCAGTCATTGTTGTTACCATTTCCGAGGAAATGTCCCTTCCTTGAGGCACGTATTGTAAACTTCCAAGAATAACGTTGGTGCTGCCTTTATGGCTGTTTTCAAGGCAATATTAGGGATTCCGTCTAGTCCCGGCGCTTTGTTATTCCCGACGCGGTTACAAGCCTCCATTAGTTCTTCTTCCATGACAGATGGAATGTCTTCAGGGTTTAGCTGCCTTAGCTGGCCGGTGAATACCGGTTGTTGAGGAAACAGCACAGTAACAATCCTCTCTAGGAGCCGCGGACACGTAGGCGACGGCATTGGCTGGTATTTCAGGTGGGCCGTGACCACCTTGTACGGTTTGCCCCATGGTGTATGTATGTATGTATGTATGTATGTATGTATGTATGTTTTTTTTTTTTTGGGGGGGGAATCCTTTTTACGGATTCTAGGCATAGTTGTTGGCCTGGATATGTGGCGACTCGTCGCAGCGTCATATTAAAACTCGACGCTAACGCCCCTACCCACTAAACCCTAAACCCCTTTCCTCTTTCCTCTAATCCCTCATGGAAACCGCCGTCAGGCATTACTTCGTGAGGGGAG